TTATCTGTTGTATCCAATTTACATACAAGAAGTTCAGCTTTGTTGAGGGGAAAAAAAATCATTCAAGTCCAAATAATGGAATAATGGAATAACAAGTTCATGACTTCCTTTCTCTAGGGCCTTTAATCAACTCTTTAAGCTGTTCCTAATTATTCCCTCTCTCATTCCTTCAGCAGCTAATTTTACTTTCTCCACCATAATCCAGGTCTCTACCTTCTCACCCTGAACTCTCAGCTGATGACCTACTCTGCTGCTCCAAATAGAAAATTAGACTAAAAGCATGACATTTCACATTCTTCTACCTAAAAAATTACCTACACCCACACACATCGCTTACCTTCTATCATTTTTCTTGTGCAAGGGTAATTCCCTGCAAATACACTCACAGCTCAATCACCTCCCATTCCTCACGGATCTTGCTTTACAGGTTATGTTTGCTCTACAATTGCTGCCAAACTCATTTTCCTCACTATTGCATCTTCAACCTCAGACTATAATCAATTTAATATTTACACATATCAAAATAAAACAAAACTGCCTTGTTCCTCATCAAGCATCAAAAGAGTCTGAGACTCTACCATACTTCAAAGCTAACAATTCAGTTGTATGGATGATGGCAGAAGACAGGAGACCCGTAGGTCTGAGACAAAGGACTTTGTTACTCAGGGCACAGCAGGTAGCACGAGCATCAACATATTTGCTTCAATTCCCCAAGTTCTAATTCTCATAGGATATTGCAAAGAGGACCAAGTGACACCTGCACACAGTTGGGTGCATTATTGGAGAGGAACCCTGAGCTTAGGGAACTCACATTTTTAATAACAGGCAATAAACTGACCTATCTTTGGATTCTGGAGGGGGACACCATCACTATCTTCTACAGCTGCTCACTATACAAGCAGCCCTGAAAAGATAGTCTAGAACAAAGAAAGTTTGTGTCTCGCTCGCAAGACATTAAGAAATGTGAACAGCCGGGCTCGGTGGCTCAGCCTGTAATCCCACGCCTTTGGGAGGCTGAGGTGAGTGGACTGCCTGAGCCCGCGGGTTCGAGACCCACCTGGGCAACTGGGCGAGACCTCATCTCTACAATAAATAAATAAAAAAAAAAAAAGAAAAGAAATGTGAGCTATCTATGAAGAATCCTCTCCAAACAACCCCTGCTTCTGATCCAAATGACTGCCATTTCTCTACCTTTCTTCAGAGCTATGCTTCTCATAAAATACGAGCCTTACCAATGCTGCCACTTTAGCATCTGTCTCTTGCTTCCACAATTTCATTGATACTTCCTTGGTCAAAGTCACAAATGATGTCCTAGTTGCCAATTGCTAGTCTGTATTTGACCTCTGTGTAGCCTCTAACTCTTGTTCATTTCCTTCCAAAGTGCTCATCTTTGGCTTCCACCAATGTTCTACCTTTGATTCTTTTGCTCGTGTTTCGACTGCTCCTTCTTAATATCTTTAGCTGGGCTTCCTTGCTGACTGCTCTTTTAACCCTGATTTTTTTTTTCCTCATCCCTCTTCTCACTCCTCTCTATACTTTACTTGGATGATCTCATACCCTCCCTTGGTTTAAAATGCCACCTAAATGTTAGTGACTACCAATGCTTTATGTTAAGCCAAAGTTACCCCAAACTCCAAAACTATATGACAAGTTTTCCTGTATCTCTAGCTGAATATCCCACAGAAGCCCTAAAATGCTGCATGCCAAACTCATTCCTCATCCACACATCTCAAATTTGTATTTCCCCTCCTTAAACTTTCTATTTCTCCTTTAATTTCCTATCTCTAATGGTAGCACTATGATCAATCCAATAACCCAAGAGTGAAAATTGGCAGTTACCCTAGACATATAGGATTGGGAAACTAAAGTGCATGGGCCAAATTCAGTGTACTTTCTGATTGTTTAATATCACCTTACTTAGATATAAATCATATTCCATTAATTCACCATTTTACAGTACAGATTTCATGGTTTTTAGTATATTTACAGAGTGATACCTGGTTTTGTAAATAAGCTTTCACTGGACCACAGCCACAATATTTGTTTACATGTTGTCTATAGCTGCTTTCACAAAGTTTTTTTTTTTCTTTTTTGGTTTGTAATAGCAAAGTTTAGTAGCTTTGCACAGAGACCATATGGCCTGCAAAGCCTAAAATAGTTACCCTCTGGGCCTTTACAAAAAAAAATGTTTGCCAAACTCTATCCTGGCTTAGCCTGAGCTCTTTCAGCCCCTATATTCAATCAATTATAAATCCTATAATATTATACTTCTTAAACAATAGTAGCTACCAGTGACAGCTTACTATGTACCAGGCAACATTCTAAGCATTTTTCTTTAAAAAATTTGTTCTGGTTGAGATATAACACAATAAAATAAAACTCAGCATTTGAAAGTGTACACTTCAGTGGTTTCACTAAATTAACTACGTTGTGCAATCATCACCAGTAATTCTATGATATTTCCATCACCCCAAAAAGAAACCTGGTACCAGCTAGCAGTTAGTCCTAGTTCTCTCCACTCCATCCCCTTGAAACCTTGAATCTACTTTCTGCCTCTACAGATATGCCCTTTTAGGATATTTCACATACATGGAATCATATAATATGTGACCTTTTATGCCTGGCCTCTTCCACTCAGCATAGTGTTTTCTAGGTTCATCTATGTTATGGCATGTAACAGTACTTCATTCCTTTTTATCGCTGATTAATATTTCATTGTATGGATATGCCACACTTCCTTAGTCATTCATCAGATGATGAACATTTGGCTTATTTCAAGTTTTTAGCTATTATGAAAAATGCTGCCATGAACATGATATACATATTTTTGCATGGACTAAGCACCTTACATGCATTCACATAATCCTCACAACAACCCTCTGAGATAAGTGGATTATTGTTATGATCATCATCTTCTTTATTTAACGATGAGAACACATGTCAGGTGTGGCGGTTCACACCTATAACCCCAGCACTTTGGGAGGCCAAGGTAGGAGGTTTGCTTGAGGTCAGGTGTTCAAGACCAGACTGGGCAACATAGTGAGACCCCCATCTCTACTAAAGAAAAAATTAGCTAGGTATGATGATGTAGGCCTATAGTCCTAGCTCCTTGAGAGGCTGAGGTAGGAGGATCACTTGAGCCCAAGAGGTCGAGGCTACAATGAGCCATGATCAGGTCGCTCCACTCCAGCCTGGGTGACAAGAGTGAGATACTGTCTCGATCAATCAATCAATCGATACACTAAGAGAAGTGAAGTGAGAAGGCAGAGGCAGTAAGTGGTGGAGTTAGGATTTTTATTTGTATTTATTTATTTATTTATTTATTTATTAGAATCTCACTCTGTTGCCCAGGCTGGAGTACAGTGGCACATTTTTATTTGTATTTATTTATTTATTTATTTATTAGTTAGAATCTCACTCTGTTGCCCAGGCTGGAGTACAGTGGCACAATCATGGCACAATCATGATGCAACCTTGATTGCCCAGGTTCAGACAATCCTTCCTCCTTAGTTTCCCAAGTAGCTGGGACTCCAGGCATGTGGCTACCATACCTGGCTATTTTTTTAATGTTTTTGTAGAGACGAGGCTCACTATGTGCCTAGGCTGATCTCCAGCTCCTGGGCTCAAACAATCCTCTCTCCTCAGCCTCCCAAAGTGCTGGGATTAGAGGAAAGAGTCACCACGCCCAGCCTGGAGTTAGGATTTGAATTAAGACAGTCTGATTCCACCCATGTTCTCAACCACTAAAATGCTGCCCATAATCCATTTTCTCTAGCCTTATTGCCACTGCTTATGAGACTCTCCTCGGCTCATGCATTGTATTGCAATTGCCTCCCCACTGTCCTCCCAGACTCTAGCCTCACCTCCCTCCAATTCTCCTCACACTGCCATCAAAGCACCCCTTCTAAAACATAACGCAGACCGTGTTCTGGTCCTTGCTTAAAGCCCTTCTAAAGCTCACTATAATCTAAGTGGTGGAACAACCTTTTAGTGGCCACTGATCTTATATGTAAATCAAATAGGTGCAGTGAGTGTAAATGCAGAGACAATTTTGAATAAGGGGAAAAAAGGGGGGCGGTGAACAGAGAAAGAGTCTTAAGACATTTCCACAGAACCTTCAGAATTTCTGAAATAATCTGAAGAACCACTGGCCCAAAACTTACTTACAGAAACTAGCTGCAGTTTCCTGAATACACTAAGCTTCACGCCTCAGAGTCTTCACATACGCCACCCATCTGGATAGCTCATTTCCACTCAGCAAACTTTCTACTCATGTTTGAAAATTCTATTTAAACATTACTTCCATGAAGCTTCTCTAACCCACTCCCCACTCTAATAATTGCAAATATTGCCCACCATCCTTATCACGTTCTGACTGGTGTTGTCCCTTTTACAATATAATACTCAAAGCTGAAGATAATATTCCAGATATGGCATGACCACCACAGAGGTTAAAACTGTTACAACTCTTCAGTCCCTGAAACTGAGTATAGGATCAAGCAGCCAGCTACTCCCTTAAGCAGTTTGTTTCTTGATCTGCCAGCAACACAAGCATAAAGATTCCAGCAGATTCCCCTTATATCTGGAGCAGAAACATCAAGGGGCCATGATTCATCCCTTCAAGCAACCTTGAAAAACATAGATCAATCCAGTCAGGTGTGTTCTTCACCGCTATACCTATGCTGCTAAGCACGGCTAAAACCAACCAGCAAAATAGCCACGGGGGGGGGTCCCCAACAAATGTAAGATTTCCAACAATTGCTAGACTCTTGATGCTGCCTATCAGTCCTCCAACTTGTCCCCTACAGGTTGAATGCCCCTTATTGAAATAATCAGAGAGGTTTGGGATTTAATATTATTTTCAGATTTTGAAATATGTGTATTATACTTACCAAATGAACATCCTAAATCCAAAACTCGAAAATCCAAAATACTTCAATGAGCATTTCCTTTAAGCATCATGTTAAGGCTAAAAAAAACTATATATTTTTTAACTAAGTATTTTTATTTTTAATGTCCACAGTGTATAATATAAGAGCCAGGGCTTCCTCCTGGACTCAATTTTATAAATTCTCAATTGACTGGTGAGGCCAATTGGGATACTTCTTCCTATCTAATTTGGTTTCTGGGAAGACTTCATTCAAGTCCTCAATGGTCATCTGATCAAATGGAATTACGTTCTTCATTTTCTCCATCTGTTTCTCACATTCTCCAATCACGGCCTTTGAGAGAGACACAAACTCAGAACAGTTTTTTACATCTTCTTTTTCTTCAGCGTCCACTTGGGCAGTATATTTATCCTCTGGCACAGGAAACTTTAGGGCATTAAACTTCTTCTCAAAGTCATCAACCAAGCCTGCCTTGGCCATGTTGGCCTTGTAGTAAGACCAGTTGATAGCTGGTGGATTCTCAGACAAAGCAGCCAACCTGGAGGTGAGCACCTCATTCCAGGATTTCAAGGAATTGCTCCTAGGCTCCTTTTGGTTTTGGGGTATGATCTCCCCAAAAGCAACCCAGTCAATGGCTTTTAGAGTAAGTTTTCGCCCAGCCATCTTGGGATCCTTCATCAACCCTGGCAGTCCCAAAATTTTAGATTTTAGAGCATTTCAGATTTGGGATTTTTTGTTTGGGATGCTAAACCCCCTTCTTGCATTTCCTTTGGCAGCTATGACAAAATCTCATCTCAGCACACAAACTGTTTTCCAACTTCTCAAAAAATGGTACAGTCACGCGCTATCTAACGACACTCAGTCAACACCAGGCTGCATATATGATGATGGTGTGCCCCTAAGATTATAATGGAACTGAAGATTTCTTATTGTCCAGTGATGTCATAGCTGCCATAAAGTCATAGTGCAATTATTTTTTTGAATAAGTTTAGTGCAGCCTAAGTGTACAGTGTTTGTAAAGTCTACAGTAGACTATAGTAAAGTCCTAGGCCTTCAACTCACTCACCACTCACTCTCTCACTCACTCACCAGGGAAAGAGCCAGGGAAAGCTCCAATCACGGTTAGGGCTCTACATAGGTTAATACCACTTTTTATCATCTATACCTTTTTTTTTAACTGTATTTTTCTAAGTTTAGATGCACAAATGCTACTGTGTTACAACTGCCTATAGCATTCTAAATAGTAACATGCAGTACAGGTTTGTAGCCTAGGAGCAACAGGCCATTTCATATAGCCTAGGTTTGTAGCAGGATATACCATCTATGGTGTTAGCGCTGTAACAAAATTACCTAACAATGCATTTCTCAGAATGTATCCCTGTCATCAAACAGCATATCACTGCACTTAGTCAACCTCTAAACTTCAAGCTCTCAAGCTTCAATCTCACACAAATACTTCTACAAATTTACCAGCCTGCAACCCTATCTCCAACTTCTTCTCTTCTATCTGACTGAGACTAACCCTTCTACCTATGCGTTGTAATGCAGTTCCGCTGGGTATGGTGGCTCACGTCTGTAATCCTAATACTTTGGGAGGTGGAGGCAAGAAGATTGCCTGAGCCCAGGGGTTCAAGACCAGCCTGGGCAACTTGAAGACCTTGTCTCTACAGTAAATAAAAAAAATTAGCTGGGTATGGGGGCGCGTGCCTGTAGTTCCAGCTACTTAGAAGTCTGAGGTAGAAGGATCATCACCTGAGCCCAGTAGGTTGAGGCTGCAGTAGCCATGAGCATGCCATTGCACTCCAGCCTGGGCGACAGTGAGACCAAAAAAAGAAAAGAAAAGAAATGCAGTCCCTTGTATCTCCTTGAGATATGCTCCATTAAATCTCACCCTCTCTCTTCTATCCATATATCCTCTGGATCTACTGGTTCTTTCCCCTCAACATAAACTATAGGCTTAAATCAAATATACAATAAAAAGACATCACATGTTCAACCAAGGCCCCCTCTAGCTACCAATACTCTTTCGTGCCTTCCCATCATACCTGTTTCCCAAGAGTCATTTTTGCCACTGGCCTTCAATCTAGTGGTTGCTCTGGGAATTACAATATGCATCTTAATTTATCATAATCTACCTCATGTTAATACTGATTAGATTTAGGTAAAATATAACAACTTTATTCTAATATAACTTCATTTCTTCAGTCCTCCTTTGTGCCCTTATGGTATATCTGTATATGTTAGAAATTCAAATATAAAATGAAACTGTCTTAATTTTAACATTTTAAATTTGCCAACCCATTGCCTCATAGCCTCCTCTTTTTTTCTGATGAGAAGTCAGCTGAAAATCATATTGTTGTTATGCTGTATGTGATGAGTCATTTTTCTCTTGCTGCTTTCAAGATTTTCTTTGTGTCTGACTCTAAGCAGTTTGACAATGATTTGTGATTTAGATTCAGATATGCATCTCTTTGTGCTTATCCTACTTGAGGTACACCAAGCATCTTTAAACTGCAGTTTAGTGTTTTATGATACATTTGGGGAGTTTGGGGTCTTTATTTCTTCAAGTATTTTTTTGTCACATTCTCTAGCTCCTCTCCCTCTGGATTTCCTATTACAAATATGTTGGTATGCTTGATCTTGTCCCACAGGTCTCTGAGGCTCTTATTATTTTTCTTCAGTGATTTTCTTGCTATGCTTCAGATTGGATATTTCTTTTGATATTTCTTCAATTTCATTGGTTGTATCTTCTGCCATTTCAAATCTGCTGCTGAACTCATCTAGCGAATTTTTTGTTTCCTTTTCAACTCCAGAATTTCCATTTCGTCCTTTTTTATATAGTTCCTACTACCTTATTGAGATTACCTATTTGTTAAGTCATTGTCATTATATCTACCTTCAGTTATTTTGACATGATTTCCTTTTTTTGAACATATTTATAACTACTCTGAAATTCTTGCTAAATCTAACATCCGAACCAACTAAGAGATAGTTTCTATTGACTGCTTTTCTTCCTAAGTGTGGAAAACATGTTCATGGGTATTTTTCTTTAACATCTCATAATGATTTTTAGAAAACTGGTATAAGAGATCACATATTTAACAATCTGGATTATTATTTTCCTTCCTGAAGACTGTTATTGTTCCAGTCTGGGCAACACAGCAAGACTCTGTCTCTACAAAAAAATTTTAAAATATTAGCCAGGCTGGTGGCACATGCCTATAGTCCCAGCCACTTGGGAGTTGGAGGTAGGAAAATCACTTGAGCCCAGGAGTTCAAGGCTGCAGTAAGCTATGATCGTGCCATTGCACTCCAGCCTGGATGACAGAGAGCAAGATCACTGTCTTTAAAAAAAACAAAATTGTTGCTCTTGGGATTTCTTTTTATTTTATTCTGTTTTAAGGAAACTTCCCAAAAATAATTTGAGAATCTATCTCCTCAGGTTGTGTAGCCATTGATTTCCCTGCTAGATTGTTATCGAAATTCTTTCATTTTTTAGCCTGGCTTCCCAGAATTCATCCCAGTGTCTACACCAAGCCAGCTGCCTTTCTGCCTCTGCTGATAAATCTTTTGGTGGGCTAAAGAGTGCAAAGTCAGCCTCAACTTTTATTCTCTGCTGGGCTTTCTCAGGACTTCCTAGTGGATGCCAGCCCTCCTGTAGGCAAGAGAACTTATCTTGGCCTGTTGTGGCTCTGCTAATAGTTTCTGGCTGACAGTATCTCTACTACTTGCCCTAAGCAAGACTACAACCTCTTGCTAGCAGGGCAGTGAGTTTGACATATTTGTTTCCTCCCAAACTTGCTATTTTTACTAACAACACAACGGGGTATGAGGCTTGTTGCCAACTTTTCCAAATCAAGTCTGTGGCCTCCAGTAACAAAGTACTGATTTTAAGGCCAGATCAGTCTTGATTATACTCTTTTGTAGATGGCAAGGGAAGGGGGCTCAAACAAGAAGGCCAGAGACTCCCACTGCTCTTACCCAAAGTTCAAAAGATTTTCACAAATTAAGGCTTCTTGACTTGCTATTTGCTTCTGGTCCATCTTAAGAGCCCTAACTGGTTGTTTCTGACAATTTCATCCAATTTTATATTTGCTCTGTAGAGAGATTTGCCAACATCTTTGCTCTGCTATTGCCAGATGTCCCACTACTTCTATTTATTTAACTTACCATTTTCAATTTATACATCTTTTTATGTAGTTGCATCTCATAAATACATAGATATGGTCTACATATATTTTATTTAATTACTTATTTATTTTTTGAGTCAGGGTTTCACTCTGTTGCCCAAGTTGGAGTGCAGTGGCATGATCACAGCTCCCCATAGCCTTGACCTCCTGGGTCAAGTGACACTCCCGCCTCAACCTCTCAAATAGCTGAGACTACAGGCATCCCATGTCTATTAATTTTTTTATTTTTTGTAGAGACAACGTCTCGCTATGTTGCCTAGGCGGATCTTGACTCCTGGGCTCAAGTAATCCTCCCATCTCAGCCTCTCAAAGCACTGAGATTAAAGGCATGAGCTACCATGCCTAGTCCATTCTACATATATTTTAGAATACATACATTCATTTACATGTAATATTTATGTTTATATAAATATATCTGAATAAATTAGAGTGTACAAAGTAAAAGGTTTTACTAATATATTATAGATGATGTTTAGAAAACACTGGTCAAAACTCTGTTTTCCCTTTCACACTATTCAACCATACCTCAGACCATTACATTCTAATTTCTATTCCTATTACACTAGTGAAACATCTCTAGTTAAAAGCACTGTGAACATCCTTGTCACAAAGCCAGAGGTCACCTTCCTTCCAGCCCTTGTCATGTATGACTCTTCGACAGCATTTATCACTGTTCCTTTTTGAAATTCCTATTTTCCTTGGCTTTTAAAGCACCACTGTCCTATTTTATCAATAGCAGCTTTTTCATATAGTTCACGGCCCTCACTTTCCATTAAATACTGGTAGTACTCAGGATTTCATCCTGAAACCTGTTCTTTCTACATTATCCCATATTGATGACTTTAATTACCTAATATCCACTGACTCCTGCCTTCTTTACTCAGCACCATGACTTTCAAAAAAAGGTCAGTAAACCCTTGGAGCACTAAGTCAACCTAAAAAGTTTTAGGTATACTGGCTACTCCTTTTACATAAACAGTGATGAAACAAAAAGGTTTTGAGGACAGAAGATGGAGTAGTTAATATATAAGCAGAGAAAATTCTGCTAATACATAAATAGCAGCTCTGTAAACAGGCCATTGCCTGTGCTTAAATCTCACAGTAATTACATTCATCTAAGATCTGTCTCACCCTCACATCCAACTGGGGACTTAATAAAGCGAAAGACAGAAAATATTTCAGGACAGGCATAGTGGCTCACGCTTATAATCACAACACTTTGGGAGGCCAAGGTGAGAGGACTGCCTGAGCCCACAGGTTTGAGACTAGCCTAGGCAACTTGGCAAGACCTCATCTCTACATTAAATCAAAAAATTAGTCGGGCATTGTGGTGCATGTCTGTAGTTCCAGCAACTTGGAAAGCTGAGACAAAAGGATCACCTGAGCCCAACAGGATGAGTCTGTGGTAGCCATAAACGTGCTACTGCACTCTAGCCTGGGCGACAAGAGTGAGACTCCAAGTCAAAGGAAGTATTTCACATACCTCGTGTTCTGATG